TATATATTTGAAATAAACAGACTGAATAAACCCAAATTATATGTATCTTTTCAAATAAGATAAGTAGCACTGGAAATCTGCATTGCCAACTGAAATGCATTGTGATTAGGGCTTCTCACAATTACGTTTGTCTGCAAGAAGCATTTTTAAAGCACCTAGGGATTGTTGTAAAACAAAATAACATTATATAATACAGCACCAAATAATTCAGACTTAATTTTTCTTCAAGTGTTAAGGACTTCATATAAAAAAAGAATATAAAATATCAGTGTTTGAAGACCATCACATGCTAATTATCTATTGGCATTCATGTACTATGCATTCAGGAAAACTACATGCATAGAAATCCAAAGGTATACTACTCTCTGGCATGCATCATCTAAGACAGGAGTATTTGAGGCAAATATGAGCAGTCAATTATTTAAAGAAATTTTCAACACTTGAGTAGACAGAAATGTACACTTGAAAAGAATATACACATTAAAGTTTTATACACTGACATATGACTGCATTACTGTAATTGTAATTCTGGCATCATTAATATAAGACAAAGAATTTTTTATTATGTGACTGCTCTTAAGAGACAATATGACTATCTCATAACTGTCCTGAGAAAATATAAGAATTTATTGACCAGATTCATTTCTATAACCTTTTTATCATTTCTGAAAATACATGTAATATAAAATATTAATCCTAGAAAGTTATACAAGCTCTTTAAAAACTTGATTGTTTTTTATTGTAAATGCAAAACAAATTTTCAAAGTAAATTGTTACTTTTGTATGGATCACAAACTATAAAGTATGCATCAAGCTTGTATATGAAGCTAAACACATTGAATGCTTACAATAAGCATTTATTTAGTATTTGAAAGTAACTTAAATGTTGTAAATGCTATTACAACTCAAAGTTATTTCAACATCAAAGCATATTTATATTCTGTTTATATACTGTCAAATAACAAATTATAATTGAACAATTGTGAATTTTAATTTTTAAAAAAAATGTGCTTGAATAATGTCAAACCATATCTCTAAATAATTATTTAAATGTTTTCTTGAACACACACTCTTGTTCCTAAAAGTATCTATTTAACTATACTTGTGAATTAATAGGATTTAGTCAGCTGTTCCTCAAATGAAGTAAAATGGTGATCATGAAATTTGACAATTTAGGTAGATAGGTAGACTTAAAGAGACACCACTAAAACATGTTGATCGATT